CACCTGACACTCAGAAACAAGTTGTTCAGTTTCCAAGTGGTTGTGCGGGTTTGAGTGTGTTTCTTTATCCTGAGTTCTAGTCTGATTGCACTGTGGTCTGATAGACTGTTTGTTATGATTTCTGTTCTTTTGCATTTGCTGAGGAGTAATTTGCTTCCAATGATGAGGTCAATTTTAGAGTAAGTGTAATGTGTTGCTGAGAAAAACGTATATTCTGTGGATTTGGGGTGGAGTGTTCTATATAGGTCCACTTGGTCCAGCTCTGCATTCAAGTCCTGGATGTCCTTGTTAATTTTCTGTCTCATTGATCTGCTTAATACTGACAGTGGAGTGTTGAAGTCTCTCATTATTATTGTGTGGGAGGCTAAATCTCATTTTAGGTTGTTAAGAACTTGCTTTATGTATCTGGGTGCTCCTGTCTTGGGGGGCGTATATGTTTAGGATAGTTAGCTCTTCCTGTTGGATTGATCCTTTTACCATTATGTAGTGTCCTTCTTTGTCTCTTTTGATCTTTGTTGGTTTGAAGTCCATTTTATCAGAGATTAGGATTGCAACCCCTGGGGCTTTTTGTTCTCCATTTGTTTGGTAAGTCTTCTTCCATCCCTTTATTTTGAGTCTATGTGTGTCTTTGTATGTGGGATGGGTTTCCTGAGTACAGCACACTGATGGGTCTTGACTTTTTACCCAGTTTACCAGTCTGTGTCTTTTGATTGGGGCATTTAGGCCATTTACATTCAAGGTTAATATTGTTATGTGGGTATTTGATCCCGCCATTTTGTTACTGGCTGTTTTTCTTTCCTATTAGTTGACTCATTTTCTTCATTGCGTTTTTGGTCTTTGCCAGCTGGTTTGCTTTTGCAGTGACTGGTACTTGTTCCTTTCCATGCTTAGTGTTTCTTTCAGGAACTCTTGTAGGGCAGGTTTGGTGGTGATGAAATCTCTTAGTAATTGCTTGTCCATAATAGATTTTATATCTCCTTCACTTACGAAGCTTGGTTTGGCTAGATATGAGATTCTGGGTTGAAAGTCCTTTTCTTTAAGGATGTTGAATATTGGCACCTACTCTCTTCTGGCTTGTAGGGTTTCTGCAGAGAGATCTGCTGTGAGTCTGATTTGCTTCCCTCTGCGGGCGACCTGACCTTTCTCTCTGGCTGCCCTTGGCATTTTTTCCTTCATTTCAACCCTGGTGAGTCTGGCGATTATGTGCATTGGGGTTGCTCTTCTTGAGAAATATCTCTGTGGAGCTCTCTGTATTTCTTGAATTTGAAATTTGGACTGCCTTGCTAGGCTTGGGAAGTTCTCTTGGATAATATCCTAGAGCATGTTTTCCAGCTTGGATTCATTCTCCCCATCATATTCAGGTACACCAATCAAGTGTAGATTAGATCTTTTCACATAATCCCATATTTCTTGGAGGCTTTGTTCATTTCTTTTCACTCTTTTTTCTCTTGTCTTGCCTTCTCTTTTTATTTCACTGAGTTGATCTTCAATCTCTGATATCCTTTCTTCTGCTGGATCAATTCGGCTATTAAACCTTGTGTTTGCTTCACATAGTTCTCCTGTTGTGTTTTTCAACTCCATCAAGTCGTTTATGTTCTTCTCTAAGCTGGTTATTCTAGTTAGCATTTCATCTAACCTCTTTTCAAGGTTTTTGGTTTCTTTGCATTGAGTTAGGATGTGTTCCTTTAGCTCAGAAAAGTTTATTATCCACCTTCCGAAGCCTGTTTCTGTCAATTCGTCGCACTCTTTCTCAGTTGTGTTGTGTTTCCGTGTTGTTGAGGAATTGTGATCCCTTGAAGGAGAAGAGGTGTTCTGGTCTTTGATGGTTTCATCTTTTTTGCACTGTTTTTTTCCCAGTTTTGTGGATTTACCTGGCTGCAGCCTCAGGGAGCTGCTTGATGAGGTCGATTATCTGCCTGTAGAGGCACTACTGGGCTTCTAGGGACTCCTTCAGGTTACTAGGGAAGCTTCCTGTTCTTTTTTGTTTCCACTGGGGGTTTAGGCCTGCCTCTTCCACTGACCTAGCAGCACTGCTGGGTGGTCAAGAATGCAGTCCCGTTGCTATGTAGGCTTCCTGTGTTTTTTGTTAAAACATGTAGCCCAGCCCCATCCCTCTAATGGTGGGTTGTGCCTTTCCTCCACTGGGCTGGGTCGTTCAGGGTTCATCTCAGACTGTGGCACTGGCTGTGCAACCCACTAGAGTTAGAGCTTCAGCCCTCTGGAGTTTGTCAGGGAGGGTAGGGACCCAACCAGCCACACTCAGCTGTCTTCCCCCTTTTAGCTTCCTCTCTCTCAGGTCATGGGGTAGGGGCCCGCCCAGCTGGTTCATCCATCCATCCTCCCTCTTACAGCTCCCTCTCTCTCCGGGTGGGGGAGGGGGTGATAGCTCGGTCCACAGGCTCTCCAGGCTGACTTTTGGGCTTATGCATCTTTTTAGGTCTGTGTGTCAATCTGAGACACCATCCTGGATTATTATTCAAGTCCACACTTGTAATTCCTGGCATTTGACTGGCAAAGATCCCCTGTTCTGTGTATTGCTGAGGCTTTGGGGGAAGCACTGTATCTGGACCGGTGTGCCAGAGGGGGAGCCTCTGTCTCACCGGTCAGATGCACTTTCTGGGTGAAGCAGCACCCCTCCCCACCTTGGTCTGCCCTGCCTGGGCTTTGCTCACTGTTGGACCAGACCCGTTGAAATACACCTGGTACCTCGGTTGGAGCTAGGAGATCTCTGGATTTCTGCGTCTCTCTCAATGGGTGTTGTGTGCCGGAGTTGTTCTGTTCAGCCATCTTGGAGCAGAGTTATCTGTATTCCTTTCACTAATTTTATCTTCAGTTCTTTCTGTTCAGCTATTTAATCCAGTCATTGAGTTTCTAAGTTTTATTATTATTTATATTGTCATAAGTTTTATTCTTTCTCTTTTAGATCTGCCTGGTAATTTTTATTCTTATATTTTTCATCTTGTCTTTTTTTCATATACTAAGCAGAATTACTTAAAAATGTTTTTATATATAGAAAATTTCAAATGTACAAAGAGAATAGTGTGGTGAACCCTTCTGCCCATAACCCTGCTCCAGTAATTATCAACTAATTGCTAATCTTGTTTCATTTATACGTCCATGCATTCCTCACCGTCCAGCCCCCAGATTATTTTGAAGCACTCAAAGGCATTATGTTATTTCATCTGTAGCTATTCCAGTGTATGTATCTAAAATGTAAGAACTTAAAATATATATCTAATTACACCCTAAAAAATTTATTCCCCCAGTAAATGGTCAAATATACCATTTGTCTGAATTTTAAAATATTTTTTCAGATCATGAGCCAGATAACAACTATAAATTGGACTTGACTGTTCTAAGTCCCTTGTTATCTGTAGGTATCCTTTTTCTGTCTTTTCTTTTTTCTTGCAAACTGTATTTTATAGAAGCCAGGCAGTTTGCCCAGTGAAGTTCTATAAACTGGATTTTTCTGATTACATCCTGTGGTATTGCTTAACATGTTTCTCTGTCTCCTGTATTTTCTCTAAATTAATGGTTAGATCTAGAGACTGGGTCAGAATAATGCCTGAATTTTTGTTAACAGAGTACTTAATAGTATTGCTTTCTTCCATTGGGAGTTATATAAAGTGTGATCATTTTTATTTTGTGATGTTAGCAGCTGTTGATGCTTATTGCTTAGCTCCATTGTTTCAGTAGATTTTACAACATGGTGGTATTCTAAGTCTATTATTGCTGCTTTATTTATTAGCTACAATACTTCTATGAAGAAGAACTCCTTCATGTCAATTATTTAGTTAGACTCTCAAATGTAGTTTGTAATTTAGAAATCAGAATTTGAGTGCAAGAGGTGCTTATTTATCTTGAGTGGGTTATTGCTTCTAGGCCTTTTTAGTAAGCAGAGGTAGAAAATAGGTTTTTTGCTAGTTTGGTTTGTTGTGGTTTGGTTTGTTTAGAGATAAAATATAGTGTAAGTCCATGCTGATACTTCCAATTCAGATTAAGGACTTTAAGATTTTACTTAATCATCATGATGTAAAAACTTCAAGGTTTTTACTTATCATCATGATGTATCTTCTTTCTCCCCTGTTGAAAATCCCAATTCTCAAAAAGAAAAAAAACCCAGAAAATCCCAATTCTCTGTCGCACCTACTACATAATTACTCTACAGTATATATGTAATGTTCATAAAACCGCACTACAAACAAAAAAATAGTTCAATTAGTGCAAATTAAGATTTTTGAGTTCTTTTTAAATCTTTAGTATAACCCATTAGACATACAGTCAAATTCCTGTATTAAAGGAGTTTTCTGTATTAAATGCCTACATTAAAGTCCTTTCTTTGGTCATGTCACCATTCTTACCTCATTTTACTTGACAAACTTTGACAGTGCTGGAATGTACTATAACAAGCCTGCATACATTTGTAAATTATTATAAATGTAGATATGGAAAGAATTCCTGAGGGATAAACAATATTCTCAATGAAAAAGCAGATTTTATTCAAGTCATTTAGAGGAACATAAAATACAATTTTTAGTTTAGAGCTATTTGCATTCTAAGGTATTACCTAAATAAATTGTTAAAAAATAGCAAGTAGGTTTTTTCTTGTTTAGAGAGAAGAGAAAAAAAAGACCTACCTCAAAAATAAAATCCTGGCATTATTTTGCCATTCATTTATCTTAAAAAAAGTTTTTTCTTACTTTATCTTACTATAATTTCTAATGCCATTCTTCTATCTTAAAAATTTTAGTTTCCTAAAACCTAGCATATTTACAATGTTTTTGCTTGCCTTTTTAAAGAGAATTGTTATCACAGGACCTTTAAAAATGTGTTTGACTTTTAATCTTAACTTTCTGATATATTTTACATTTGAAATAATGTTTTCTAGGAAAGGAAAGAATAAGCATTTTTTTTTTACTGTTGTTTATATGACATTTAATTATCAATTTGATTTTAAAGAATGAGCTTTTAGATTAAACCAAAATCTGGGTTTTTTACAGGTCCCTGAATGATGCGACTTTGTCACTGTTAATGGATCAAGCCCATGGCTCTGGATTTCGGCTTCTTAAGTGCCAAAATAGAGTGATTAAGTTGAGTACAAGACCTTTCCCAGCACCATACTTGATGCCATGTGAAATAGGATTGGAAGCAAAAAGGGTCAAATTGACCCCTGATAGCAAGAAAGAGGAAAGCTTTGTTTGTGAACACCCATCTAAGAAAGAGTGTGTACAGATAATTACTGCTATAACATCTCTTTCACCACTTTTAGCATTCAGCAAATTTTGTTGCACTGTACTGCTACAAATTATGGAGACGGAGAGTGCTAACTGCCTTAAAAATCATTATGTTGTGTGTGGCAGAGTTGTTTTAAGTCTAGAAGATCTTTCAGCTGGGAAGTACCTACTGACATTTCCAAAGAAGAAACCTATAGGTAATTTTCTTGGCATTTTAAAATTATATATTTAATTGAATTAGAAAATTTTAAGAATTCTGTTTATCTGATAATGGACAGAGTTTAATTATAGAGCTTGTGACTCCTTTTGTAGAGCACATGGAAGATCTTTTTGCACTTCTCGCAGCATTCCACAAATCTTGTTTTCAAATCACATCACCTGGCTATGCCCTGAATTCAATGAAAGTTTGGCTCTTAGAACATATGAAATGTGAAGTAATCAAAGAATTTCCAGAAGTATACTTTTGTAAAAGGCCAGGAAGTTTCTATGGGACACTCTTCACCTGGAAACAAACAACACCATTTGAAGGGATTTTAATAGTCTGTTCCAGGTAATGCACATTAAATTGTAATCAGTACAGAGAAGTTAGTATGTATACGTGTGATCAATGTATGGTTCAACTGTGATCCACATGTGGGGTTCAGTATTATTGAGAAATATGTCAGAGCCATGGCCTAGTGTGAATGGACACATTGGCTTCATTTATAAACTGAAGATCTCTGTTTTAATTTTATGTTTGTTTTTGGCTTTTTTTAGTGCCTAGTAATTATTTTTGGATTTCCCATTACCTCTTCTCCACAATAAAATTTAAAAAAATAATATATTGACCTTATTACTCAGCAAAAAAATATTTTAATTGGAAACAATCTGATTGACTTGATATGGGATATGTATATCTGATTGCTGTAGTCTAAATTTTATCAATGCTCACATGCATAATTGGTTCTATTTATCATTATGGTGTTGATAAATGAATATTGATTACTGCAGTATATTGTAATGACTGCTTTGTGCTGTCCTAACTTTTGTAATATTATGTTTTTTTTTTTAATTTTAGGAATCAAACAGTTATGTTCCAGTGCCTTCATAATCTCATCAGAATTCTTCCTATAAACTATTCCCTCAAAAATCTAAAATCAGGAAGTGAGAATTTCCTAATTGATAATATGGCATTTACTTTGGAGAAGGAACTAGTCACCCTTAGTTCTCTTTCTTCTGCCATAGCTAAATATGAAAGCTATTTTGTACAAAGCTGTGAAGTGAGCAAAGGAAAGAGTAGTGTCATCGCGGCTACTTTATCAGACAGAAGGGAGGAAATCCATCCCTACAGAAAAAAACTTCAGAGAGAAAAGAAGAAAATGTTGCAAACGAACCTAAAAGTGAGTGGTTCCCTTTACAGAGAAATAACTTTCAAAGTAGTTGATGTTCAATTGAAATCAGACTTTGCTGCACAGAAACTGAGTAATTTATAATTATAATCTCAATTTGATCATAGTTTAAAATATGTTTTCACCATCACATAAGATGTTGGTTCTACTTGCTACATGCCTCCTTTGTAAAAATAAACACTGAGGCTTACTGTAGTAGAATCTTCAGTTTTGATGATGCATAAAATAAACATAGGCGGTTCTCAATTAGGGCCATTTTAGGTCCCTCTCCTCTACCCTTAAGGGGCATTTGGCTATGTTTGGAGATATTTTTTTTTTTGGTTGTCAGAAGTTGTGGAGTCAGGAAGGGGTGAGGCAGGGGTGCTATGGGCGTCTAGTAGATAGAGGAAACCAGAGATGCTACTAAACCTCCTGCTATGCACCAGACAGCCCCCCTACAACAACGAATTATCCAGCCCAAAACGTCAGTAATGCAGAGGTTGAGAAATCCTGTCTTAGAATTACTTAAGAGAAGACTGAAATGGCATAATAGTATTTTGGTCTAAATCTTTTAAAAACTTCATTTCTTTCTTGCTGTCTGCTTAGTAAAACCTAGCCTGTAAAAATATACTTCAGATAGATGAATTAAGCAAGGTGGTCAGGATCCACAATTTTCTGAAATATCAGTATTTCTCCTACAGAAATTTAAATGGCAGATTGTCTGGGTGAGACCATTAAAATTAAAGTTTTTTAAAACCCTTGTCAATTTGAATGTTATTAGAAAGCTGCCCAGAAATTATACAATTTCTGGGCAGCTTTCTATAAGAATGTGAAAATTGTAAGACATTTTTCTGAAAAGCATATCTCTTTCAAAAAGCTAAGTATACCTCACAGGCTACTGTTTAAATTAAAAAATGAAAATGCTTTTAAGCTATCTGAAATTCCAACTCTAGGCAAAGTTAAAATATGAAATTCTGATTAAAGTAACGTAAAGAATATGGTACTCCTTAGGGACTGAGAAATCTAAAAATAAATGGAAATTCACTTCAGTTAAGAAGTGATTTATAACGGGTCCAGTGAGATACATTTCAAAGGGATAAAAATTTAAGCTAGTCTTTTCTTTGAAAAATAAGAATTCTGAAATAATAAGAGAGCATCAGAAGAAAGAAAAAGACACAAAAGGATATGGGCCAAAATAAATGTTCCTGATCCTTTTTGCTCTATAATCCCTAAGTGAGATGCAGGTTTCCATCTCAGTTGAAAGAAATAAAGATGATTATAGAAAGTGACATCTTGTGCTTGTAGCTGTGAAGTGCTAATTCTCTCATGCCTTAGAAATGCTTATACCTAATGATCTTGTGATGCACATGGTTTTAGAGAATATAGGCTATTAGTTTCTTGTCTTGGTTTTTATGATTGTCCGTGTAATAGGGGACCTCCAATGGATTTCTAGTAATCCATTGCAAATTGAGATAGAACTCTACAGCTCTGTCCCTATGAAATGTCAATGGAAAATATTTCAGACTTTCTGCAAATGGAAATGGAATAAGTTCAGGATTAATTGTGGAAATCTAGAAAGAGTAATGTGTCATGTGCTGTCTGTTGAAACTGCCCATGACATGTTCTGAAAGAACAACCAAATATAAAATATAGGAAGTAAATTGTAAAGTAGAGGTGATGAAAAAACTAAACAGTCATGTTAGTAGGGTTGCTTAGAAAAAAACAAACTAAACAGGATTTAATTGTAATAGTTTATGTGTAGGGAAGTTAAGATACTAAAAATTAGCATATTGCTTATTTTTTAATTATCAATGCAACCAAAAGATGCAGATATGCCAAATAACTTACAAGTGAATTTTGTACTCCAGTATTTTTTTTAACTGACTATAAACTAGAAAAGTCAAAGTTGAAGAAATGGCATTGTGGCCACTTTCATGATTCAGTTGTCTTTTTGCATCTACAAGCATATTTTATTGAACTCTCTTGAGTTCAATCCATTCTCCTGCCTCAGCCTCCCAAGTAGCTGGCATTACAGGTGCCCACCAACACGCCTGGCTAACTGCTGTATTTTTAGTAGAGATGGGGTTTCACCTTGTTGGCCAGGCTGCTCTTAAAGTCCTGATCTCAGGTGATCCGCCCACCTCAGCCTCCCAAAGTGCTGGGATTACAGGCGTGAGACACTGCGCCCAGCATAACCTTTTCAATGATAACATATATGTGCTAAAACATGAGTGGTTGCCTTTTAGTATATACTAGGGAATGAAAGATAACCCTTTCTAACTTCATTCTAACCTCCATTAAAAAACAACGTGATGATAATTTTAGTAGGTTTTTTTGTGAGCCTGATGAGATGGGTAAGATTTAGAATGACTAAGTAATTTGGTTATGTCAAGTGCAATAATAAAATCATCTTACAAATTATTCCAATAGGAAATCAATATGCTTTAATACTGGAAAGATTCTGGTAAAAGTAGTAAGTACACTGGGAGTGGGATGGGGGTAGGTGGTGATGGTGGTAGAATCTGAAGGAGACCAGGACCAGATGTGTTCTTAATAGTCTGCAAAATCTTAAGAAAAACTGAGCATGCAGCACGTGTGTTAGGCTCAGGAAGGGTGGGTAGGGCTTGGTATGCAGGCTAGTCAGGTGTTTCCTGAAGCCAGTGCCAGCTAGAAGGGGAATTAGCCAGTAAATATAAATAGTAGGAAAAAGAATTATCCACAAGATTTAGGGAAAGTGTTAAAGAAAATTATAATCCATACTTTATTACCAATTTTCTGTGGCATGCTGGGTAATGTCAATAGTGAATATTTATTGATCATTGTGTGCCAGATATTGATCTGAATGTGTAGCCCATATGATCCTTACAACCTTATAAAACTGTTTCCCAGGATAGTAGCTATGAGTCACATAGGACTATTTATATTTAAATCAATTAAAATACAATAAGGTTATATGTTTAGTTCCTTAGTTGATCCTAGTCACATTTAAGCTGCTCAGTAGCCACATGAGGCTAGTGGCTACCATTTGGTCAGTGCAGAGTAGAACATTTCCAGAATCACAGAAAGTTATGTTAGGCAATGCTGTTATAAGATGTATACTATTAACTATCTCTATTTATTGATAAAGAGACTGAGACCAAGATAGGTTAAATAATATATCCAAAGTCATATAGCTGCTAAGGAACAGAGCCAGGATTCTAATCATCCAGTCTAGGTGTAGAACCTTTGCTCTTTCACCACCATGCTATTCTGTGTCAGTTTGTAGTAAAACACTGCCATGTCTTGACAGTTTTATATTACCAAAATCTATTTATTGTTAAAAAGGGAAAGTTGCACATAATACACAATTCTATAAAAGTATAAAGCTGTTAATATAATTGAATTGTTAGGGAAAATGTGGGCCACATCATCCAAAATCCTGTAATGAGCAAGTTATTAGAATTGGTTGATGGCTCCAGCTAAGTGTTATCTCTTGACTCCTTCCCTCCAATTATGTCTAAATACCTGTGTGTCTGTTTGCTATTTCCTCTCAGTTTTCTTTGTTAGAACCACCAGTCTCCAGAATTATTGCATTACCATTGCTGGTTCATGTTTTGGGGTTTTTTAAAATGAAAGCGTCAATTCTCTAAATAGCCTTTTGTTAGTTTCTCTTTGAGACATGTCTAGGTCCTGAGCTGAAGTGTTTGTCAGTGGCTAGCGATCACTGCAGTTGAGGGCTTGGGATTCCAGGGAAAGATGCAGGGTGTCTAGCCAGGAAAACTTACATTTTTATTCTCTATGAGTACTACAGCACTTGAGAAGAAAAGGAAGTAGAATTCAGTTTTCTATTTGTACCCTTTGCCTACTCTAATCATTCCAAGTGATATGCCTGTAGAAAACATTTCACCTCTGGTGCCTGGCAACAGAGCGAGACTCTGTCTCAAAAAAAAAAAAAAGAAAAAGAAAAGAAAACATTTCACCTCTTGTAAATTATCAATAGTGTATAAAGTAGAAGGGAATATAGAGATCTTTCTTTCATTCAATCATGTGTCTATAGAGGTTTCATTGAATATATTCTCATGCACATCTAGGTGCCAGAGATAGATAAATTTAAGACTCTTCTTGAAGTAGTATTTTAATATAATGGTGTTTTACCTCATGATTCAGAAAGAAATATCTACACAAAGAAAGAAGTTCAAATCAAAGCACTTTGAATAGCAGAAAGGGGTCTGAAATATTTAAATCATGATTTTGAAGTATTTCTTGATTGAAAAATTGGTTTATTATATTGGGGAACCATAAAATAATTATATTTAAAGCTTTTTAGAAATAAAATTTGTTGTAACAATTTAAATAACATAAGCATGTACATTAAAGCAGATAACTTTTAAAAATTGATTACCTGAATTATTTTGCCCTATTTATTTATTTAGTGTAGTTGAAAAACATTACATTTACCGTCCTAACAATTTTTAAGCATATAGTTCTATAGTGTTAAATATGCTCATGTTATTGTATAGCAGATCTCTAGAGCTTTTTCATCTTGCAAATCTGAAACTCTATACCTATAGAGCATTAATTACCTCTCTCTTTTCCACCAGCTCTTGGCAACCACCTTTCTACTTTCTATGATTTTAACTACTTTAGATACTTAATATGAGTGGAATCATACAGTATTTATATTTTTGGACTTGGCTTATTTTACTTAGCACAGTGTCCTTGAGGTTTATTCGTATCATAGCTTGTGACAGTATTTCTTTCTATTTAAAGCTGCATAGTATTCCATTGTGTGTATATATATCACATTTTGTTTATCTGTTCATCTGTTGATAGACATTTAGGTTGCTTCCACTTCTTGGCTATTATGAATAATACTGCAATAAACATGGGTGTGCAAATAACTTTTTGAGATTCTATTTCCAGCTTTTTTGGATATATACACAGAAGTGAGATTACTAGGTCATATGTTAATTTTATTAATTTTTTGAGAAACCTCTGTACTATTTTTTATAATAACTACACTATTTTACATTCCCACCAACAGTGTACAAGGATTCCAATTTCTCTGTGTCCTTCCCAACACTTATTATTTTCTGTTGTTTTGATACTAGCCGTCCTAATGGTTGTGAGGTAATGAATTATTTTGCCCTTGAGAGACCCTGGGTAGCCTTTTGAGTTTCCAGTTCAGTCACTTTTCTTTCTCTACATCAGTAGTTCTTAAAATGTGGTCCTGGAAGGAATAGCATCAGTGACATCTGAGAATTTATTAGAAATGCTAATTGTTGGGCCCTATCTCAAACCTGCTAAATCAGAAACAGAGTTGGGCGTGGTAATCTATCTTAACAAGCCCTCTAGGTTATTCTGATACACACTCAAGTTTGAGAACTGCTGCTCCACACTAAATAATTCTCAGCCATGGTTGTATATAAGAATCACCCAAGGGCTTCTTAAAATGTTTTTCTGATCTTAAGCCCCACCTCAAAGAAAGATTTTGATCCATATGGTTTAGGGAGGTTTTGCCTTGAGCCTTGGCATCAGTTTAAAAACTCCCTAGGTTTTGTTTGTGTTTTTTTGAGACAGTGTCTCACTGTTTCCCAGGCTGCAGTGCAGTGGCACAATCTCGGCTCACTGCAGCCTCCACCTCCCGAGTTCAAGCAATCCTCCCACTTCAGCACCCTTGAGTAGCTGGGACCATGGGTACACACCACCATGCCCGGCTAGTGTGTGTGTGTGTGTGTGTGTGTGTGTGTGTGTGTGTGTTTTGTTTTGTTTTGTTTTGTAGAGACAGGGTTTCACCATGCTGCCCAGGCTGGTCTGCCTGGGCTCAAGCGATCTGCCTCCCAAAGTGTTGGGATTTTAGTTGGGAACACAGGCATGAACCACACACCCAGCCTCCCCTGGTGATTGTACAGCCAGAGTTAAGAGCCACTGCCATACAATCAGCTTGACCATTTCAGGGTGCAGGGCTTCATGGATTTTTCTTTTTTAGTAGCATCATTGTCTTAATGTAATAGTGCTTCTCAGACTTTAACATACATACTATCACCTGGAGATCTTGTTGAAATCTATTTTGTGATTCAGTATAGTCTAGGGTGGGACCTGAGACTGCATTTCTAACAAGCTCACAGTTGATGCTGATTCTGCTGGTTCATGGGCCCCACTTTGAGACTCAAGGTAATAAGTAACCCTCATCAAAGTCAAGGCTTTTGTTTTGGGGGAAATTGAAGTATTTAAATAGAGTTTTGTTGTCATTCCAAAAAGTCTTCACCATCTGATGTGTTCTCTGAATGGATAAATACAAGGTAATCCATGTTTACTTGTGTTGTGCTTTCATTGATAGAAATTTTGTACCAAAGTATTTCCCTGCATTATCTGTGTTCCAGCATCTTTGGTGATGAACGGAAAATGAAAAGATACATGAACTTAATCTTTTACATTTTACCATTTAGGTTATTGTTCATGCCTTATGTAAATAATCATTGTGGAAGGATATGTTTTCTTTAATTCCTAAAATGAGAAATTACTGTGAACACTGAAGCAATGGGATGATGATGATTGTACAATGCCTAATATCCTTTATTCATTAGGAATTACACTGAAAGAAAACCCAACTCGAAACAGATGTACACATGAGAGACATATAAGCTTTGTTGTAACCAGTGGACAGCATTCAAGCTTGAGTCAGTTTGATTCAACAGCTAGCAGGATATTAAGGAGATTGTCAGCTTCCTCCTAAA